AAAATGACAAATGTTGTTTGTGTATCAATACGATTTTACACTACTAAAAATAAGTTTATTTCATCAATCATTATCGTTTTTTAAATAACTAAAGACATCAGAGAATGCATTTTAAATATGTGACCCTGGACCACAAAACCAGTCTTAAGTCGCTGGGGTATATTTGTAGCAATAGCCAAAAAAAACACTGTATGGGTCAAAATTATTGATCTTTCTTTTATGCCAAAATTCATTAGGATATTAAGTAAAGATCATGTTCCATGAAGATATTTTGTAAATTTCCTTTCTAACTTGATTTTTGATTAGTAATATGAATTGCTAAGAACTTCATTTGGAAAACTTTAAAGGCGATTTTCTCCCTCTTGCACAGATTCCAGATTTTCAAATAGTTGTATCTCGGCCAAATATTGTCCTATCCTAACAAACCATACATCAATGGAAAGCTTATTTATTCAATTTCAAAACAATGACCCTTATGACTGGTTTTGTGGTCCATGGTCACATATAAAATAGTATTTTTTTGACTTGTTTTGAGCATGAACCCAACCTATCTTATGCAATTTTGCTTTTTAGGTAAATTTATAGTTTTAAAGGTGTTAAGATACAGAATGTCTGTCTGTCTGTCTGTCTGTCTGTCTAATCGCATTAAAAGTATAAGCAATCACATGCATAAGAGTTCCAACAAATGACATGTGCTGTGTGTCATTTGCCCTCTTTAGCTCGTGGTACTGCTGCATTCACCTGATCTGCGTGTTGCTGGTGCTGGTTCTTCCTGTGAAGTCCAGACGCACGAAGCAACAGGAACAGCTGAGCTGCGTTCAGGCCAACAAACAGAACTGTCTCTCCTCTCCTCACAACAACTGCAACCAGAAGCAGAAAGCCACATGAGGGCATTAAGGGCTGCTCGACCCGCACACAGCGCTGTGAGGAACTTTGATATCAGTACTGAGAGACAAAGAGCGGCCATTTCCTCCCTCAGATCCAACGACACTGACAGTGACATTAACAAGGCATAAACTCCAGCAACAATACAGCGAAAAGACACGGTTAACCCCATAGTTGCCCTGTTGGAGATGGGTTTTAAACAGGAAATCTTCATAGGATCAAATGAAATTGGGGTGATTGATTCATAAAATGGTGAATAATTGACAAATGTCAGTTAATCTGAAGTTGCCTTAAACCCTCCATATATTTAGGGCCTGAAGCCTCATATGGGGATCGTGTTACATAGGAACGAACCAGTCATTGTTGGCTTATAGATTCACTACATTAGTGCGGGAAGTCTAGCACTGGAATCGGCTTCCACGGTACCTAGAAGGTTTCTGCCATTGTCAGTTAAACAAAGTAACCTCTCTTTTAGTTCTTCTCAAAGGAAATGTGTGCGGTAAATGAAAAGAAACAAGTCCAGTTGCATGTTGCCAAACTCATAGGCCTTAGGTTCCTGTCTCCTGCCATTGCTTCATCTTTATTCTTTTTGAATTTCTGTGCTTTTCTAGTAGGTTCATATCTGCTGCTTTCTTTGGGTGTGTCTTCATTTGGAAAAATGTTTTTGTTATAATTTTTTCAGTGATTTTTGTTTATTTTTTAATTAAGGGCTTTTGGTTGGATTAAGGGTTGTATTGATGCCATTTTTAATGGGTTGTAGGTTTCCTCAGGGCACACACATTTCAGACCATTTTAGATGTTTCTCTACCATCTATGTTTCTCCCACAACATACAGCCCATCTGGAGAAAACAGAAGACAGTTCAATAATACCCAGTATCACAGCTTGTTTGGGTTTTTATTACAGATGTAAATGGTAAGTGCAATATCTATATTGTGTCCATAGGTGCATGTTAAATGAAAGGATCACATTAGTTTTGCAAACAGTGCTAATGCTCTCATCACATCAACAATAGTCAGAATTGTGTAGAGGTTCAGTATTCAAGTACACTACCAGCTAAAAGTTTGGACAAATCCGATTTGTTCCTCTTGATCTTAAAAACCTGTTGAACTACAGGCGAATGCTTGAAATGAGTAAATATGAATATAAATTGTGCCAACATAGTAATTCCTTAAAACTAAAATATTTACTTTTAATAGTATTTTTATTTTATTTTGTGTGTCTCACATAGTGAGGGGAAAACAGCCAACAGCAGTGCTCAGCGTGCTTGGGAACTACATAATTCCCATATTTCCATTTGTTATTTGAAAGTTTTGATGACTGTATTATTCTAAACTGTGGAGAACGGTAATAATAAAGCATGAAGTCTTGACTATTTACTGGTAGTGTACTGTACATGCAGTACTCAGATGCATGCAGATTCAAATTTTATACATCAAAACTCTTAGGCCCTAAAGAAACCTGCAAGTTGTGTTCCTATTTTTTCTTGAACTTTGATCCTCTAAAAGGCCTCAGAGAGCCTTGCTCATTTGATTCAAGGATCTGGAAAATCAGACCTCATATTCCCCCAGAATCTACTTTTTGATATGTGTAATAATGATTATGCAATTATTTTCTTCCAAACATTTTACCCCTTGGTCAAAGTGACTATAGATGTTAGTTATTCATTTGGTAATGAAGGGCTGAAGGCACTAAAGCATTTACCAAAGTGAGTCTCACTGGATTCTTGTTAACCAAGCATTTTCAGTAACGAAAAAGTTATTCTTGGGCGTGAAGTAGACCATCCACCATTTGGAGAAAACGCTCCGAACCAGCCCGCTGGGATTTCATAAGCACACTTCTCTAAAGTCTTATTGTATTTGGACTCCAGAAATGTAAAACCATGATGAATTACAGCCTTGCACCAACAGTTTTAGCAACTGCAAAACCAATAGGAGGATTAATAAGTCTGCACTTCTGTTGGTAACAGTCTAGATATATACCATATCATTTGTATTTTTGCCTCTTTGTCTTAAAGGTTTAGCTTAAGGAATTAACTGTTTTAACGGCCCAAAGCCAATATGTCCCTTAGTAACCAGTGTACTAACTAGCACCTCAATGCAAAACAAAATGTCCAAAGTGCCAAATCACATGAGGTGCACAAAAGATCACTTTATTTGTACAGGTTTACAACAGGGTGAGAGGTTTGTACTTTAAAATAAAAAACAAAACAAAGTGATTTATTTGGTCTTAAACTGACATTATTTTTACCTACTGATATGTTGGGAGGAATCACTCCCTCCATATTTGCACTTTTGGAAGGAAAGAGTCGGGGTAGTGCTATCGTAGAAAAACTGCCGAAGCAATGCAAGAAACCTCAGTACTACTCAACAGTTAGAGTATGTGCTTAACAGAAGTTAAACGGATGAATTTGCCCAAAAGGTTCAATTCATTATAATAACAAAGGAGAATCAGGATGGTGTTCCAGTGCCATAGAAAGACGTTAAATGTTTGTTCATTGCTGTTTATGTGTAAACATCGTTCCGATATTGTTCAGTTAAATACAGCCTAACATCTTTTTGTTAATTCTCAAGTAATAGTGAAAGCACATAACAGCCTTATTTATCTGTAAAATTTCAGTTCAGTCATTCATTTATTTTCATACCGTTTCCAACTACTGATTCTACAAAGAATGACCTAAAGCTGTGTGAAATGGTGTTGACTACTGTAACGTTTTTATAGAGCATTTGTTGTCCACCATCCACCTCAGTTCTGTTGTTTGTCATTGTCTTGCTGGTCTTTAATGGCCATTCAAAATAAGTGATTGTGGCCCTTAGTAAGCAAGCAAACCCCCTTAACTGGTTGCTAAAGCTTTCCAGATATTGCACAGAATTGTTTAACTTTTCCATTGTAATTCCTACTGACTGGTTGTGATGTTGCATAACCTGGCAGTGTACAGCAAACCTAAAGATGTTAATGAAATGTAATACGTCTATGACGAGATACAGGAAAAGTAATACCTAATATGTTAGCTACTTCAATATAAATACATTTACCAATATCCATTATAAAACACAAGGTTGTCTGTGCAAATGCACTTGGATTGAGAACTGTCCAGAGGAGAACAAACACTGTCTCCTCTATTTATTTCCTGCAATAATCATAAATTGAGATATGATAATTATCCAGCATTTGAAATGTTTAACGAACTGAGTGCTCTGAAGTTGCTCTGAAGTGATTTTTCCCTTTGAATAAAGGATTTGATATTAAAGGGATAGTTCACCCAAAAATGAAAATTACCCCATGATATACTCACCTTCAAGGCATCCTAGTTGATGCAATCTGAGTTATATTAAAAAAAAAATGTCCTGGCTCTTCCAAGCTTTATAATGGCAGTGAATGGTTGCTACTTTTCAATAGTCCAAAAGAAGTTAGAAGTTCAAAGAAGTTAGCAAAGCTAGATTACTGTTTATAAAGTTTTAAATATGGATATTTTTCTTTCAAAAACTCATCGATTCGCTTCAAAAGGCCTTTATTCACCCCCCGGAGCTGTGTTTTTTTTATGATGGATGGATGTACTTTATTGGACTTCTTTTGGACCATTGAAAAATAACACCCATTCACTGCCATTATAAACCTTGAAAGATCCAGGACATTTTTAAATATAACTCCGATTGGATTCATCTGAAAGAAGAAAGTCATATACACCTAGGATGCCTTGAGGGTGAGTAAATCATGGGACAATTTTTATTTTTGGGTGAACTATCCCTTTAAAAATTCATTCCAATACCATGATGATTTTTTTCAAAACAAATAAACCATATTTTCCTTCCTGGTATTCATCTGAGTGTTTTTTGGTTTTCATATAGGTAAATGCAACAATGGAATAGACAGATAGATAGAGCCAAAAAATATGACTGTATATATTTGAGAACTTTTGACTGTTAATGTTTTCTGTTGTTAATCAATACAAGAAGTCAAATGAGAAACGGACAAATAGAACGTGTTGTAGCTGCAGTCTGTCAAAACATGGGCGTAACCGTGTCCTTTAGTGGGCGTGGTTTGCGCACAGTAGGTGTGGTCATGTCTAGTTCATTTTAATTTCGTCCACACCCCTGTTCACACAATATGGCTGTTCTGTAACGCAGGACTGCCTCCAGACAAACAGGTTATGGCAACAAACAGAGTTATGTGAATTATATTGGATTATTTTGGACCTTGTTTTCCTCCGGGAGGGAGATGTAAATTACAATTTGGAATTATGTAACTAACTGACACGTGTTTTGTAAAGACGTGAATTCATGTCAATATGTCAAGTAAGTCAAAGTAAGTTTTTATTTTTTTAAATGCCACATAGTAGCTTTGAAACACTGTTAATGTGTTATAAGAGAGAACCGTGGACGTACACAGTTGAGCTGCAGCTGTCAGGACACATGAGCTCCAGTAACAGCGTTTGTTGCGGACGTGTAGCCTGATGTCTGTTTCTAAACACGTGCGCATGAATAGTAGTCGTTTTATTGTCCAATGCTGCTGTCAGTTACAGCCAGAGGCGGACAACGTACTCAAGGTGCCACACTATGGAAACGGATCCTTACAACAGTGCTTCCCAAACCAGATGTAACTGAACCCCAGGGAATCCAGAGGGTGCCTGCAAAGATTTACATTTTGCTTTGTTAAGCATATGTATATATCGTGATTAATTTAATTAATTAACATTTTGAAGAAAGGAAAATAATAATGTGTCAATTTTTTTATTATAGTAAAAATGCTAAATGAAATCTAGTATATTATGAGTTAAATGTAACACATTTCTGTTTTGGTGTTGGTAATATTAATCAATAAGACAAAAATATCAATGGGGGG